CCCTGCCTGGCAGGCCATCATCGCATGCGGCATCCCTGCGGCCGCGGTCAACGGCTTCCGCACCCCCTTCCTGTCCGACAAGAAGGAGGTGCGGGCTGTGCTGGCCGAGAACGGGTTTAGGTGAGCTGGATGGATGGGTGGGCGAATGGTGGGCATTTTGCGGCCAAGCACCCGCCCCCTGCCGTGCTGCCATGCTGCTTCCATTCCCCATTCGCTTTTGCCACACATCATCACGCCCCATTACTGTGCCACTGCTGGGCCCCGCCACGCGGCAAGCCCGCCTGGCGCTCGCTCCGCCGATCCTCAGCAGCCGCCGCCGTCTGCTCCGCCTGCCCCGCCTGTCCCGCCTGCCGCCCGCAGGTACGACAGCACCATCGGCGCCAAGGGCGGCGCCAACCGCGTGTGGCCGGGGGTGATGAGCAATGGGGTGGGCTTCGACTGCAGCGTGGCTGGCCAGCAGTGCGCCGCCTCGGAGAGGTATCCCAACCTCTGGTGCGTGGCGCCGCCGTGCCAGATGCGCGCCATATGCTCGCGCCATGCATGCATGCAGCGCCGGCGTGGCGCCAACGCACAGCGCAGCGTGCATGCATGCGCATCTTCGTGCCTCGCCTGCGCGTGCCCCCCCCGGGGGCCGCGTGCACCCGCGCCTGCACCTGCACGCAGTCGCGGCACTGCCGTTGAGCCGATGCCGCCGCCGCGCGCCTGCCAGCACAGCCCGCGCCCCGCGCCGAGCCCGCGCCCGCATCGGTCTTCTCCTCACGCGCGCCCCAGCCTGCACCCTCGCCCCGCGCCATGCCATCCAAGCCAGCCCACGCATGCGCACACACACACACACACACACACACCTCCGCGCCCTCGCCAGCCTCCCACTCACCCAGCCCCGCCGCCCCCGCCGCTGCCCCTCCGCTGCCTGTGCGCCTCCTGCTCCCCCTCCCGGTGCCGTCCCGCAGGCAGGTGCCTCTCTACGAAGCCCCGGACGAGAACCTCATGGACTACTGCACCGACGAGGCCACGGGCAAGCCGCGCCCCAGCTGCTCTGCGCTGCGCCAGCTCCAGTACATGTTTGACACGGCATACAAGGGTAACCGCGGTCCCGTCAGCGTGGGGGTGCACTCGCCCTACCTGACAAAAAGGTGGGGCGGAGGCGGCCGGGCTGGCAGCCGGGCCGGCCGGCTGGCTGGGCGGCCGGCTGGCGGCCTCCCGTCTGCTGCAGGCTGGGCTGAGCTGGCGCCGCTTGCCTTGCTTGCTCTCTGTCCTGACCTGCTGTGGCCCCATTCCTTTCCTCCCGCAGCTCCTATTCCAAGGACCTCAAAAAGTTCTTCAAGTATGCGCTAGGCCAGCAGAAGAAGGATGTGGTGAGTGAGAGGAGACGAGTCGACTGCGGAGTGGCTCTAGTGTGTCCGCTCATCCTGTTCTCTGGCAGTGTGCCTAGGCTGAACTTAGTTTCCACCTGCCGCCTTGCTGCAGTGGGCGGTGACGATGAACCAGCTGCTGGACTGGATGGAGAACCCGGTGCCGGCCAGCAGGATGAGCAAGTTCATGAAGAAGTACAAGTGCGTCGAGTAGGGGCGTATGAGACGCACTGCGGTAGTTGCGCTCAAGCAGGTGGCACCCCCGAGTGGGGCGCATCCTCCCGAGGCATGCCCACGCACGGCCAGCCTCCTGGCTTCCGCCAGGCGCTGCCAGCCAGTCCGTTTCCCGCGTTCTGCTTTTGAGTTAAACCCGTTTGCATTCCCCATGATTGGTGCCTAGCTATGCTCATTACTTTCTTCTTCCTCTTCCCTGGTCAAATCCATAGGGTCCTCGCCCGCCTCCCTCCTTTCCCCTTCCCTGCACTGGCGAATCAGGCATGCCTTAACATAGCCACCCTCCTCATCCACTTTCATCTACTGTCCCTGCCTCGCGCACCCCGAGTTGCCATTGCTACTCGTTGCGCCTCTGCTTTCCACCCCTGATTACTGACCGCATGGGGCAGATTCCTCCATGCTGCTCACTGCCCCGATGCTCATTACAATATATGTCCTTTCAACTGCCCCCGATATGTCGATGCACTGCCAAGGCCCTGTAATCGCCTGGCGCTCCCCTGACACCGAGAACACTTACCACCCGATGCATGACCTGGCAGTCATGCAATCGCATGGTGCCAGCAGCTGTTGCACGTCAGCCCTGGCTCCTGGTGCCGCCTGGCACTTACCGCATGTAGCGAGCCCTAATACATACCATAGGTAACAGAACACAATGCCATTCGAAACGTAAGAAAGATGTTCCTGTTGCAGCTCAGCCATCGACAGCTCGTGCCAGCTAGTTTTTTGGCATGGGAAATGTAGCTTGCCGGAGCGGATTGTTGCAACATATCGGCTGCGGCAGCATCAGTTGATCACGCGGCGCCTCTTGCTGGCGGCGTCTTGCTGGCGGCAAGTGGCATTGGCGCCTTTCGCTGGACCGTGCTGAGCATTAAAATGCAGTGCAAAACTGATGAAGAGAGATCAAATTGAGTAGAGGGAAAATTGCCACAACCAAAACTTCCAGTCGCTGCAGGAAAACACTTCCAGCCGTCTTGCCACTCTCGAGCCACACAGCAGCGCGTGCTGGCGCCCCCTCGTCACGAGCTTTGCCAGAAGGTGGGGCGGCTGGCTCGCCGTTACCCTGAGACTGCCCAGCAGCGTGGTCTCAAGCTGCCGCCGGCCGCAGGCTGCTGCTGCCCGTCGGAGCGCCCTTGGGGTGCCACCGCTGCGGCGGCTGCACCTCCATGTGCATGTCGTCAAAGGCTGCGGGCAGGCAGGCGGGCAGGCAGGCGGGCAGGCAGAGGAGCGTCAAAAACACACAAAAAGGCTCCCAGCAGGCCAGCCAGCAATCGGGGGGCACGCTGGCAGCAGCGCCCAGCCCGCGCAGGCAGTCGCCAGCCGCGCTGCCCAGCCCTGCCCGCGCTCGGTGCCGCCCGCCCCGCTTCTGGGGCTCTTACCAAGGCACAGCAGGGCGCGGCCCCCCAGCACGGCATCCAGCACCTCTGGGCTACCGTCGTCGCTCTGCACACAGCAGGCACACACCACGCGTGCTGGTGCCAGCTCCTCGAAAAGCAAGGCGCGGCACAGACACACAAGGAGGGTCCTTGGAGCGAGGGGCCTGCTCTTTCCGAATGCACCACCACCCACCAGCCCGCCCGCCCACGGGGCCGCCACCCCCAGCGCACCTTGTGCCGGCGGTCTGGGAAGGTGACGCGGGCGGGGGGCAGCGGCCGGATGTGGGCTGTCAGCTTGAGGGTGTACGTGAGGAGGCCCGGGTGGTCGGGGGTGGCACCGCTGCGGGTACGGAGGGAGCAGCATGAGAGAGAGCGCTGGCTGAGCGGTGGTTCCAGAACTTACAGGAAGCAGTACCAAATGGCACTAGCATTCTACCTGAAGCTGGGCAGGAACATTTGGATCTTGGGCGCCCAGGCGGGGGCCAGCTGAGGCACCTCTATCCGGCACACGGGCGAGGCCAGCCCACGCCTCGCCTTGCCGTGGCACCCGCTGCCGCCGCCGTCGCTGCCGCCGCCGCTGCTGCTGGGCCTAGCCTTGCCGCCGGCACGCTCGCTGTTGCATAACTCCACGACGGCGGTGGGGCTGCCGGCGCCCGCGGCGCCGCTGCCGGCGGTGCCGCCGCCGCGGGCCGCGCGCCGGTGGGGCAGGTCCCACCAGCTGGCGCCGCGCTTGCCGCCTTCGCCGCTCCTGCCGGCGCCATCCAGCGCGGGCAGCGGAAGCGCCTTGAAGGCCGCCAGGCGGGAGGGCAGGCCCACAGCGGAGATGCCATGGTCCCGGGCGTCCCTGCAGAGCACAAAACTCTTCCGCGCTCTTCGCAGACTCACTGCTGACATGTCCGCCAACAGCACCACACTCACGCATGCGCGCAAGCGCACTCGGCCTCGCTCTCTCAACCCCAAGTCCCAGCCACCGCCTCGCACCTGTCGCTCACATACACGCGGGCCGCCCAGGCGCAGGAGGTTGGGAAGTTCCAGGCCAAGCCTGCCAGCGCCACACACTCATCAAAGGCGCCCACGGGGGAGGCTGCAAGGAGGCGGGAATGGAAGAGGGCAGAGGCGGGTCCGGTTCGGGGCGGGTGGGGCAGGCAAGAGGCAGCCCAGCAACGGGCCAGCAGCAGCCCCGCGGCAGGGCGGTGGCCGCAGGTGTGGCACGGCGCGGCTCACAGCTGTAGCGAGCCAGGTAGAAGCCGCCCAGGGTCCAACCGAAGAGGCTGACGAGCGGCAGCTCGGCAGGTACGTACTTGCGGGCCTGCAGCGAAGAAAGCAGGTGGCATGCACGTGCTGGTGGGCCAAAACGGAACGTCCGGGCGCAGCGTGTGTGGGCGCGAGACTGCAGGCCCGGGAAGCCCGCAAGGAGCGCTGCACTGTGCGACAGGTAGCAGGTGGGCAGGTGGCGGCAGGCGGCGGCGGCAAGCGGTGGCAAGCAATGCCAGAGCGGTCCCGCACCTCCTCCACCCGCACTAGCGACAGCTGGTACAGGGCCCGGCCCTTGAACTCCCAGGGCGCCTCGCCATAGCCCATGGCGTAAACGCTGGGACGCTCCGGCGCTGTGGGGGTCCCAACGCTGCCAGAGAGGAGCAAAGCAAGCTACTGAATCACACGAGCATGCGATGGATGGCCGTCGGGCTCTCGGGAGCAGATGGGTGGCCTCATCAGGATCATCTTGGCCACGCAAGCTCGCCGCAGGCTCAGCAGCAAGCAGCAGTTCGCCTGTAATTGGCTCAGAGATGCAGTGCGAGCTGACAATTGGTCGGGGGCATGTGCGCAAGCTGTGCCCAGGCCGCCGTGATCGCGGCGATGGCCTGCGCCAGCAGGTTGGCCTTCGTAGGGCCATCCTGGTCCCAGTAAACGCAGCCGTGGTATAACAGGGTCGCCATGCTGCGCGCCGCCGATCTGGCGGTCGTCATCGGCGGCACGCTGGAGGCCATTGACGGCGCCCTGCCCCGCCGCCCGCCCTCCTTCTACCTCACGCAGGTCTGTGCAGCCCGCCTGCCTGGACCAGCCAGCGCCAGCCCTGGACGTGTTACAGCCACATCGCATCATCCTGCTCTGCGCTTGTTCTTGACCGGCGCTTCCTGCCTACCCCTGCAGCCCGATGCCTTCACCCGCCTCCTGCCTCGCGACTTTGTGCCAGCCGAGCTGCTCGCGCAGGAGGCGGCGCAGCAGGCGGCCACGGAGCAGCAGCAGGCGGCGGCGGGGCCCACTGTGACGCCTGCGGCTGCAGCGGGAGGGGCGGCGGCGGGAGAGGAAGGCCCGCTGGACTGCCTGGAGGCTTGCTGCCTTCACGACGACCTTCACCTGTTCAGGTGCTGGGGCACAGCCAGCCGCCAGCTGCCCAGCGGGAACGCCACTCCAGCTGCCTACCTCGCCCCTCCCTGCTGCTGCTCCCCGCTTCCCTGACCCTGCCTCTCTCGCCGCCGCCGCCGCCGCCTGCAGCCCCGCGGGGCCCGCCCGCAGCCTGCTCACCTGGGCGCGGCTGCCGCTGCCTCTTCTGTTTGAGGGGACTCAGTTTTGTTACCCCCTGCGCCAGTACACCCTGCCGGCGCCCGCACGCCAGCTGGCGCTGAACCGGTGCGGCACACGACGGGGAGCAGGCGCTTTGCCTGCCCGCACACGGGGCTGTCCCTGCCTCTGCCTGCCGAGCGTGGGCGCCTGCGCTTGCTGCGCCGTGTGTGGCGCCTCCCAGGTGCTCAAGCCCAGCACTGCTGGCCTCGCCTGCCTGCAGGTGTGCGGCCGCTGGGTGGGACTCCTGCCTCTGGCATCCCAACCTTCCTATCCTGGCAGCACGCTCGGACTATCGACTGACACTGCTGCAGCTGGCGCCGGTGGGCAGCAGCACCGGCGAAGAGGAGGAGGGGGAGGATGCGGAGGAGCGGCGGAGGGAGGTGGGCCGGCGGCGGCGGCGGCGGACAGACAGCGGCAGCATGGGGGATAGTTCGGGTGAAGAGGAGGCGGGCGAGGAGGAGGAGGAGGAGGAGGAGGAGGAGGAGGAGGAGGAGGAGGGCTGGGAGGATGATGGGTGAGCAGCGGCTCGGCGTGAGGCTTCCCTTTTTCTTCCCATCTTTATCTCTCAACGCTGTGCGCTTGTGCCGTCCATCGCTTCCTTCATCGCTGCTGGCGAACGACACCCGGTGCCGCGACCCACCCACCCACTCATCTGTTGCAGGGGCGGCTTCGAGCTGCGCCAGCTATGTGTGGCGGCCACGCGGCGCGCCACGGCGCACTGCTGCTGGCAGCGCCAGCTCACGCAGCGCCCGCTGGTGCTGCTGCGGGACGCCTCGCTTCTTGAGGTGCAGCTGCAGGAGGGCATGCAGGTGAGCTGAGCCTCACGGGCGCTCCCGCGCACTCCAATTGGGCAGTTCTTGGCGGGATTGAGGCGCATGCGCACCGAAGCATGCAATGGACGCCGCTCGGCCACAGTGGGCGGGCATGGGAGTGCCTCTTGTTGCCTTGGATTCTGTGTTGTTCACTGGCGGCCTGGCCGCTCCCCGCCGCAGGTGGTGGAGGCGTGGCGGGCGCCGGCAGGCACGGTGCCGCAGCGGCTGCAGGGCGTGCTGCAAGTGCAGAGCGCCCCCCAGCCGCGGACAGGCAAGGCCCCCCACTGTGTCGGCTGCTGCGCTGTGGCTTTCCAGGCGTGGTAGCTGGTTGTGCCACTCCCGACTGCCGCGTAGCACCGCCCCCGCCCTCGCTGCCGCACTCCTGCCTGCCTGCAGTGGTGCTGGCTCTGCGCGACCGCCTGAGCCGGCTGGACCTGCGCAGCAACAGCCCCGCCCTGCAGCAGTTCTGGCAGTGCCCGCAGGGGCAGCACATCACCGCCCTGTGCGCCCCTCCCGCTAAATTCGGCAGCGCCGCCCAGGACGGCAGCCCGCCGCCCATCGAGCACCTGCTGGCGGCGGCCGTCAGCACGGGCCAGCCTGGCGGCGGCAGCCAGGTGTTACTCTTTGACATGCGGCGCCCCGCGCTACCTGTGGCCAGCTGGCAGCAGCCGGGCATGGACAGGCAACTTGCAGAGCCCGCCTCGCTGCTGCGCTGGCTGCCGGCAGCGGCCAGCGAGCCCCCAACGGCGGCAGCTGTGGCAGCAGCGGGCGCCAGCGGCAGCAGGGATGCGGGGGAGCAGGAGCAGCAGCGCTGGGGCGGCGTGGTGGTGGCGGCCAGCGGCGACAGCGGCCGGGTGATGGGCTGCCAATACACTGCTCAGGTGCCTGCCCGCCTTCCCGGGCCCTTGCATGCGCCACGCAACCTTGCCTCCTGCTCTCGGCTGCTCCTGCAGCTGCGGCCTGGCTTCCCTTGTTCTCTTCATACACTCACGCCTTGCCCTTGCCCCGCCTCCTCACCCACTCCACTGCCTGCCGGCTTCTGTGCCTTAGCAGATTTCCGGGCCGGCGATGCTGGCCCGCGGCGGCGCAATCAGCGAGAAGCCTGCAGGCAGCGCCGCGATGGCAGCGCTGCTGGACCGCTTCCAGGCGGCGCTGCAGCAGCAGGAGGACGAGCGGGAGCGGCAGCAGCAGCAGGGGCTGCAGGGGGAGCAGCAAGAGGAGGAGGAGGAAGAAGAGGAGGAGGAGGAGGAGGAGGAGGAGGAGGAGGAGGAGGAGGAGGAGGAGGAGGAGGAGGAAGGGATGGATGTGGATGAATCCGGTGCTGCTGATCAGCAGGACAAGGAGCAGCAGCAGCAGCAGCAACAGCAGCAGCAGCAGCAGCAGCAACAGCAGGGGCAGCAGCAAGACGGCTCGGCTGGGCAGCTCCGGCAGCCGCCTGGGGCCGCGGGAGCCTCCGCCTTGAGCACGGCAGGTGCCGACCTGGTGCCAGCCCCGCTGCGGCCGCCTCCGCCCCTGCCGCTCCCGCTGCGATTCTTGTGGCAGCCAGCGCACACGCTGGTGGTGACGCCGCTGCCGGGCCCGCCGCTGCTGCTGGCGCCGCCCCCGGAGCAGCAGCCCGCGCAGGCGCAGCGGCTGGCGGCGGGGCGGCTGCTGCTACAGAGGCAGCAGGCGGCGGCGGGCGGCACCATTCGGGTGAGCGGCAGTCGGTGGTGGTGGGCGGTGGGTGGTGGGTGGTGTGGGTGGTGGTCATGGCGGCGTGGCAGCTTGTCCACTGCCCGGTAGTGTTCAACCCGCTGCTCTGCCTGTGGCCAGTCAGCCCACTTGCCTGTCTTCTTCTTCTTCTTTCTTCCTCGTACAGGTGTCCAAGGTTCCGCTGCCCGGCCAGCGCCCCCGCCTGCAGCTGCTGGGCGCGGCAGCCATGGCCAGCGACTGGGCCAGCCGCGAGGCGCTGCCGCTGCCGCTGCTGTGCAGGCACGCGCGGGGTGCAGCCTGCCTCGCCGCTGCTGCTGCCGCGCTGCCGCTGCAGCTGCAGCTGCTATCCATCGGTGGTGCTGCTTGCTGCCAGGCCGCCTCTTGTTCACGCCCCATTAATTGCAACCAGTACCAGGCTCCACCAGATGGCCTCTTCATTTGCTCTGCAAGTTCCCTCCCTGCCCCCTGCCCTGTGCAGCCTCACTCCGCACGGGGACGTGGCGCTGTCGCTGCTGCAGCAGGCGCCGCTGGCTCCCACGGCGCAGCAGGCGGCGGCGCAGGACGGCCAGGCGCCGCAGGGTCCAGATGCGGTACCGGTACTGCTGCCCGCGGCTCGGGCTGCCGGCGGCAGCGGCGGCAGCAGCGACGAGGAGGGCGAGGAGGGAGCGGCGGCGGCTGCGGCGGCAGCGAATGGCGTGGGTGGTGGGGAGGAGGCGATGCTGCCGTATGTGCGGGGCGTGCCCAAGCCTCTGGTCGCCCTGGTGGCTGCTGGCGAGCTCGGGTGCGGCTGCTGCTGCCGCCGCCGCCGCCCAGCCACTGTCTGCGTTTGGTTGGTCGCCGAGTATGCATGATGGTGTGAGCGTGGGCAGGGCCAGGCGCCGAGCCATGCTGCACATCGTTGCGCCCGCTGCCGGGTGTTGCCTTGGGCCGTGCTTTCCTCTGCCTCCGGCTTGACAGCCCCCGTGCTGTGCCTGCTGGCTCTGCGTGCAGGCGTTGCGGCTGCTGCGCCTCCTGCCTGGCCACGCGCTCCGGCTGCGCCACCGTGCGCGCTCTGCAGAAGGTCGGTCCCACCAGCCTGCACCGGCTGCCGGCAGCTGGGAGGGCGCTGCTGGCAAGAGCCTGCCCGCGCCCCCGCCCCCGCCCTCCTTGCTCCCTCCCCCCTGCCTGCTGTGGGCGCAACTCCCCGACAGGTTGGGCAAGTTGTGGGGCAGCGGCTGCCAACCCACTACACCATGCCCTGCCTGCCTGCCTGCCTGCCTGCCTGCCTGCCTGCCTGCAGACCGGCCTGATGCCCGCTACCCAGCGTGGCCACAGGCTAAGCGAGGCTCGGCCGCTGCTGACGGTGCCGGCGGGGGAGCACGGACGTGAGCCTGCCGGGGCTGCCGGGGCTGCCGCCTTCCGCGGCTGCTGCCTCTGGTGCTGCCTGTGACGCCGGCCCTGGCACTGCCATCCCGCCTGCATGCCGCTTGCCTGCCTGCCCACCATGCCGTGACCCTCAACAGCCACCAGGGTGGGTGGGCCTCTGGTGGGCCTCTGGTGGTTTGCAGACATCATGCCCATGTTTCTGCCGTGCCCTTGGCTGTGCCGCCGACCCGGGTGCAGGGAGCATCGTGCAGCTGCCGCTGCACTTGGCCTTGGCGCAGCAGCTGCTGGCCGAGTGGCATGGCCCGCCTCCCACTCAGCAGCAGCAGCAGCAGCAGCAGCAGCAGCAGCAGCAGCAGCAGCAGGCGCTGGAGGCGGTGCTGCGGCAGCTGCGCCGCCCCATCTCCCTGCACGAGCTGTTTGCTGCGGTACAGCTGCAGCAGCAGGTGGAAGCTTACGAGTCCGCCAGCAGCAGCAGCAGCAGTGGGAGCAGCAGCAGCGAGAGCGAGGAGGGGGAGGAGGAGGAGGAGGGCGGCGGCGGCGGCGGCGGCACGAAGGGTGGGCAGGGGCCCGCGCCAGCGGGAGCTGCCGGGGCAGGGGCGCAGGCGGCGGCTGCCAGGAAGCTGGAGCGGCAACAGCGGCGGGTGCGCCGCCGCCTGCTGCGCGACTGGCTGCGCGCGCGGCGGCACGAGCAGCGCCAGCAGCAGCAGCAGCGGCAGGAGGCGCTGGCTGCGCTGCTGGCAGGTGAGGCGTCTCGGGGCGGCGCCGCCCCGGCGTCTGCCGCTCGCGCAGTGGGCGGCCGGGCGGCGCGCGGGGCCAGCCCTCAGCAGCGGCAGAAGGAGCGGCGGAAGCAGCGCAAGCGCAAGTCTGCTGCCGCGGCCTCGGGGCAGCGCCTGGAGCCAGGCAGCGCCGCCCTGGAGGCGGCGCTGCAAGCGGCGGGGCTGCTGCCGCTGCGGCGGCCGCGAGGCACCGCCGCCGAGGCGGCGGCCGCGCCCTTTGGGCCGCAGCAGCAGGGGCGCAGGCTGCGCGAGGCGGCGGCGCCGCTGCTGCCGCCTGCCGCTTTCCAGGAGCAGGTTGCTGCGGCGGTACAGGACCTGGCCGTACCAGCAGCGGCGGCTGGCGCAGGAGAAGACGGCCTGCAGGAGCAGCAGGGGCCCTTCGAATGGCGGCTGCAACCCCGCAGCTATGCTGTGCACGGCACGGCTGGCTGGGCCGCCTCGAGCGGCGCACTCGAGCGGCAGCCACGGCAGCAGGCACCAGCTGCAGGCGGGGCAGGCGAGCCCAGCGCTGGCAGCGATGTGCCGCTGGCTGCCCTGCTGCCGCCGCCTCGGGTGACAGCCGCGGGCGCGGCCGCCTCTGTGCTGCTGCCCGTGCAGCAAGCAGCGGCGCAGGAAGGCCCCTCCACCTCCGCGGCCGCGGCGGCTCGGCCAGCCGGCGGCGGCAGCAGCGGGGGCACCCTGCTGCGCCTGCGCCAGCCGGAGGAGGCTGTGAGCGCCGAGGCGGCGGCGGCGCTGCAGGAGCTGCGGGCAGCCTGGGAGCCGGCGGCTGGCTGAGTGGGCTTGTTCTGACTGTTCTTATGTTTCACGTAGGCTGCAAGCATCAATTATTCAATGTAAATATGCCCGAATGGCTAAAGGAACACCATGCCCACCCTATTGCTGGCCAGCCGCCACCACGGCACAATGCGGGCCTCCTTTTCCCCCTTTCCCCTTAGCGCACTACCGCCGCCAGCTAATCATTTTGCGCATTCCTGGGCGCTGTGCAATCCTGACAAATTCCTTTGCTCGCTCTCGTGCGCCCGACCCACTCTCTGTCCCCTCCCGGTCGAGTGTTCCCGCTGAGCCCCTGCACGCAGGGTTGCCATCAGGCAGGTTTCATGGTTAATCCTGCTGCCGCCCTGTGAGCAGAGAGGGTCGACCCTAAGCAGCGCGGGGGGCACATGCCGGGCTTGTCAAGCCTGGGTTTCAGAGCTCCAAAGCTGCTCCGCCGTGTGCAGATCGAGTGGAGATGGCAGCAGGCCATGGACGCCGGTAGCTGCGTGCAGCGGCGGCGGTGCAAGGCCGCCGCCACCGGCGGTCGCCGTCCCACCGCCACTGGGCCCACTGCTCGCCACAAGCTGCAGCTCAGCATCCTAGCAGCCGTGCTGGTGTGCTTGCTGGGTGAGCAGCATCCTAGCAGGCTTGCCGAGGGCTGGCCAAGGGGGTTCCTGGTTGGCGCTGCTGTTGGCGACTGGCTTGCACTTGGTGCCGCTGGCTCCCGGCTGCGGGCTTGACAGGCATGCATGCTTTATGCTGCGACTTTGGTTGTGCTGTGATATTGCCTCGCAGGCTCGGTGGCTGCTACCAAAGGGGCGGACGCACAGCCAGGCCCGGCGCCTGCTGAGCTGCCTGAGCAGGCAGGCCCGCCAGGAGGTCGGCGGCTGGCAGCCGCCGCAGGTGCCGCAGCAGACAGCGGCGTGCATGCTGCCTTCTCGAAGAAGCCTGCCCCAAAGCAACAGCCTCCGCCTCCTCGGCCCAAGCCTCCCCCCAAGCCACGCCCGCCCCCCAAGCCCAAGCTGCCCTCCCCTCGCCCGCCGCCGAAGCCGCGGCCGCCGCCGAAGCCGCAGCCGCCGCCGAAGCCGCGGCCGCCGCCGGAGCCGCGGCCTCCCTCCCCTCGCCCGCCGCCCTCCCCTAGACCCCCCAAGCCCCCCAAACCCAGCCCGCCTCCCTCCCCATCCCCCCCGCCGCCCCCACGCCCACCGCCCAGGTATGCTGGGGCAGGCAGGCAGGCAGGCAGGCAGGCTACATGTGGAAG